TTCAGGTATATTATCTGTAGATAGAGTGGTAGTTATAGTAGACGGGGGTAAAGCAATTATTGGTGTATCTTCCTCCATAGATGTGGGCGTTATGATGTTCGGTGTATTTATGGGTAACCGACTTGAGTCTTTGAGACTTCGAGTGCGAATAGGAGTGAATTTTACTCGCTTCCCATCTGCAGTACGCTCCACTACCTCCTTATCATAAGGTTTGTGTGGGTTTCGAATAGCATATAGTTCGTTGGTAGTTACAGGAAGAGGTTCGTCGGTTTGATTATTATTTAGTAGATTAATGGATTTTTGGTGGGAGTCTTTAGACAATTGACCATTAGGATCAGGAGTGATCCTATCAATTGTCGACTTTAGTTTTTTGACTGTTGGTAATCGTTGGTATCACCATGTTGATGATTCCTACGGTTCGGGTAGTAACCTTCACCTGGATTGTATGTATCGTTGTCAAAGTACTCTTTAGTGGATCTAGGCTCTTGTTCGATCACATTAAGCTCTCCTTGAGGAACATTCTTCTTGTAATTATTATAATTATTATAATTATTTCGAGGTTGGTTATATCCGTTGGTGTTGTTATTGTAGTTATTACGAGAATAATTTGAATTGTTGAAGTCCTTGCGATCATTGGTATCTCGATTGTTGTTAGGGAAACGAGGTGGGTAATTATCACCTTGAGATGCGGTATTCCCATAATTCTGGTTCGCTTGATTAGAATTATTATAACTATTTGATTGTGATGCAGAATTATTATAGTTGTTCCGGGGTGGGTTATAGTTATTACGTGATTGATTGGTGTTATTATAGTTATTACGAACACCAGCTTCTTGGTAAGAAGGGGTGGCGTTACTAGTAGGTGGTAACTTGGCATTATTAGCAGACGGAAGTTCTTCCTTCAACACACGTTTAATTATGACCATGATTTCTTGTTCCGACATATTCATTTTACGTTCAGTAGTTTGGTTTGAATCCAGGTTTTGTTCTAAGGTTTTTAATCTCTCCATATGGTTGAGTTCCAATGACCGTAACTGGGCAGTAATCTGCTCAATTGCCGGTTCAAAGTTAACTCCCCCTTGGTGTATTATTTTCCCTTCTGAACTCGTTCCTTTCTTCTCCTCAAACATAACTTTCCCGCTCTTTGAACTAACCAGTCCATTTGTAAACTTACCTCCAGCTCGAGACTCAGCATAAGTGTTCGTATCACCACGAATCACGACTTCCCTTTCCGCAACAAACGGGTTGTCAATTAATGATACTCCAATAGGCTTGTTGGCGTTCCACCAACCATCAGCGTGCATTACCCATTCCTCAAACTTCTTTGAGCTACATTGGATACAAAATAATCGGATGTCCCGTTGAAGGCCAGCACGGAAACGGCTATGAATCATGTTGTCGTCTTCGATTTCAGCGAGTTCGGCAGCTTCATATAGTCTGGATAAAAATATTTGTGGGGACTCGGTACTACCTTGTACCATATCGTTGAAAGCGATTTCGTAACGTTGCACCAACTCCGGCGTAATGTACTTATCTTGTAATAATCCGATGGCAGTCTCGTAGGAGGAGAATTCAGAACCCACATGTTGCTTGATGGATCTTGAGAGGAAGGTGGCAGCTGAACGTCTTAACTGGGATATCAGGATAGTGAGACGGCGAGTACTAGAATTAATTCCAGTGATTGAAAAAAAAGTATCTAAAGTATTTTTAAAGTGACGAAAATCTTCACCTTCGTAACCATGAAATTCAATTAACCGAGGGCGGAAACCTTGGTAATTAGGAGGGTCGATAGTAGCAGTAGTAGTAGACATAGTAGTTGATTTGACCAACACATTAGATTCGAAGTTGATTGTTTAGAGAGATAGTTTTCTTGATAACAAGCCCTGTTAGTGAGCACCAAATTTTAGAAGAGGATGCGAGTAGAATAATAGAGATAAAAGAGATTCTTTAAATAAAATAGAGGTTTAGTAAAGAAAGGTCTTTAGAGTTGCGAGTTAAGTGAGCACCACAGCTAGTTTAATCAGAAGCTGAACTGAAAATAAATGAGAATAAGTATAGCCTTATATGCTTATAAAATAAAAGATACAATGATAATATATAACCAAGGGATCAATCAGAATGATAATAGAGCTGAATAATATATAAAACTAATAGGTCAAAGTATTGAAATATGAGTAAGATAATAGATGAGGATTTTTATTGAAAGAGAGGTCTTATGGATGCCTATTTATAGTGATGGATATATAATCCAGTCACTGAAATTAAAGAAATTAAACAAATTTATGAAGGAGAATGGGATAACTGCGCCTAGTAAAGAGGTCACAGATCTATGGATAAGAAAAAGATGGAAAGAGGTAGTTTTGACAGGTGCAAGCCCGAAAAGGCGTTATGCACTTTGGTAGGTGATTAAAAGAGAAGATAAATTGAAAGTACGCTCGATTTGTCGCGTAACAGTATTACGAGAAACTTATTTATCAGATCATGCAACGGTTACTGTAAAAAATGCATACTTGTTTGTCAAGTATAATTGGCAATAGAACATAATAGTTGACCATTTATTCATTATCTTTGTAATGAATAAAATACGATCCCAAATATAAAATGTCTTATCGATATTTGTAAATTTGGTTATAGAAGCTAGGTATCCATTAATTCATACACTATTTCTTTATACTCTTTATCAGCAGTATAACTATATCAATATATACGTAAAGGAATCATTTATATTAATAGCTGTTCTATTCTCTCTCTGGGTAGCTAATCCATTGAGAGAACTATGAATATTAAGTTTCTCTTTCTTATAATTCTTGATTGATCTGAGAAGTTTCTCTTCTCGATCGGTGATATCATAACTCAGTGGTATCGCATTCTGTATCCAACTGTCATTCTTATATCGTATTTAGGCCAATCATGCAATCTCTTATATAGAAGTATGTACTCGAAGTAGGAGAAGTTGTATAGCAGTATACAAGCGTATGCTGGTATGCAACATCAAAGGTTGATTAAATTTCATAGTTTATTTATTTGACGATTTGCTTAATTATTCTTTAAGTGAATCGTACCCAAATACGACAATTCCTATTCTTAAAAAACCATTGGGCTGTCCTCCCATAAAATGAAATCATAAAATTACATAGTTAATACCGTGGCTTTTAATTCGGACTGAAACATATAACCCACAGACCATTACATAAAAACACATACTACCTGTTGCATTTATTTAAAGGGCGGAAAATAAAAACCGTTTTACCTCAGGTTGGAAATAAATATAAAAAAAGGAGGGGGGGAGAGGAGATACTGACATTTATCAGTTTATAAAAATAATAAAAACAAAAGAACATCCTGCTTTTTTTAATATATACTTGGTTCAATGACTTTAATCTTAGGGGCTATAAAAGCATAAAACTAGCACAATTAATAAGTTAAAAATTGGAGGGGCAACAGTTTTTATTATTTTTTTATACGAGTATGTCGATGCGCTGTATATTGCCTTACCTGTAATCCTTTTTTTTTTTTTATCATGCTGCAAGAAGCAACCATAGAGTTTATTTTTGAGGGCTACTATAAATAAAAAAAAATCCCCCTCCCCCTTATGCTAAAAATGGGGGATTGTTTATAAATATTAAATACAGAGTAATTATATTTAATAAAGACATAACAACTGACACTCATTAAAAATAGAACGTCTCCGTGTGCCCTCTTAATTCACGCACACTATAATCTATAAGAAACTCTACATAATACGGCTGTATTTTATTCTTTTTTTATATATAGGCAGCAGAAATCTATGTGCACTCAATAGGTGTTACCTGTAATACTTATAGGGACACAAACAGGTCTCTTGCATGTATTTGTCAAGTAGGCCATCATGTCTGATAAGAACTATCAAGTATACAACACTACTTTGTCTTTTAAAAATGCTTTTCTGGTTCCGCTGTTGTATTCCTTTGCATAAAAAAAGTATGATTTATACCATCATACGATGGATGATATTTTATAAGTATCAGCATTGTCGTATTTGACGCCTAATTCCACGAATATAATTACTCTTATCTTGTCACTCAATTATAATACATATAACCTATGTATTATAAGTACCATATTGCGAATACATTCCTATTGGTACGACACAGTACCAGCTCCCTCATATGTCAAACTGAGATCAGATTTCATAATCGTTCCTGGATTGGTCGAGTAGCTGCCGAATCTTCTAGCTTCTCATAAATTTATTTTAGTAATCCAATCAAGGACCCTGTCATTGAATGGATAAACTATAATGCTCTAGAAGTGCCGGATATGGGTCAACTAGCTCCTTGTATATAACAATAAGCTATGTTTCATATGTAACTGATTTCTAAATCTAATTCTACCATTTCCCAGTTTGCGGGTAAATAGTCAATTCGATCTGCGCAGGAAAAATCTTGAAGTAATAATTGAATATAAAAAGGACCTCTATTTTTATCATGACAAACTCTCCAACTTATAATAAAGGATTATAGAGTCTCATTTCTTTACTTGCTTTATTTTCCCAATTACTTTTCCCTTTTTATTTCTCAATTATCACAAGCATGCCCTGTTCATAACCGACTAGTTTAACGGAGAATTATGGCAATAAAATATACATGTATGCAATTTATACGTGTAGGCTACATCTTTTAAATATACAGGTACTAAAGGATACAGACTATGGATTAAAAACACAGACAGACTACCCTTGGCATGTTAAATGAACGGTATAAAAAATGAGCCTTCCTTCTTGAATGTAAATTTAATATAGGTGTTCCGATTGACTCCTATTCCTTTTGTTGGATTTCGTTGCTACGATTGCTCATCACAAAAAGAGCCGTGTCTTTAAAATCCATTTTTACACTAGCTATAAAGAGGTAACTGTCCCCCACTTTTTATCAATTATAAAGGGAGCTTCATATCATTCTTTTTTCTTATGATATCGTACTTATTCAGTGTTTATCCTTGCTAGCCCTTTAATAACTGGTAAAGTAATGGTTACATCTACGAGGAGCGTAGCTGGAATTGAACAGAGGATTGTGTGCCCAATTGGGAGAATGTGAGAAATTCGAGAGTGATAATAGCGAATTAAGAATAAAATGTGAAATTTAACAAAGTGAAATTATCAAACTGCAAAAATAAACTAAAGTTTTATTAAACAAATAAAAGAGGGTCTTTATGTGGTGATCTGCTATATTGTTGCTACATTAAATAAATCCATATCTATGACATCAATACATTAAGAATGATTAAGGAATCAATTACCCAATATAGATAGTTAGTACTATCATATCACAAGGTTACAAGAACACAGTGACAAAGGCTTACTAAAGATATGGAAGTACAATGTGTCTAAGATGACAGTAATTCCAAGTGTAACATATTTACAAAATAAGCAGTTAAAGGTAACAGGATACACACTGGGAAAATGATAACAACTTCAAAGATACACTAAAGATAGTGGTACAGCAGATAGTCTTTTTTATATAAATACTTGTTCATTTTATTTCATAATAAAGACAATCTTATAAACAGTCTCAAATTATTCATAAACTGCCTTATAATTTTACTTACCTCAAAACACAACAATTCCATCAACTACTGACTATTCGTGTTTTTAGTAAATTCATTGCTCACTTTGTGTCATTGCTGATTCATTTCTATATTTTAATTAAAGCTGCCCTACCAAGTACAGATATTCCCCTATCACTTGATATCGTTAATCAAAGATTTGTACGCGATTTTTAATTATTTATATAACAATTTTAGACTTACTTCATAAACAATGACTGTTTGGTTTTCATATTTTGTTTCAACACGAGCTAGTCAATTATAAAACTGTTACAAGTACAGTGCATCTATTTTATAATGAACAATTTTTTGCTCTGATTTCTAAAAAAAAAGAAAACGCTATCTCTTCGATGAATTTAACATATATCGAAAATCCGGCTCGATTTTGTTCTTTATTAGAGAGTTCTTCATAAACTAATAGAGCCCGATTTTTTTCTTTTCACATAAAATGTTTTAGAGATGGCAAAACAAAATCTCCCATTTACAGTGGGGAGACCCAAAGATGTCCTGGAGGCGTTTTACAGTGCAAAAACTAATAAAAAACTACCAGATAATCCCGGGTAAACATTTTCCCGTGATAAATTAGATTCTTCTGCCAAAATATATGAAAATCAACAGTGCAAAAATCGGACTTCTAAGTTCTGAAAATGTCCGTTTTAACGAAAATTGTTCATTATAAAATAGATGGACTGTACTACTTGTTTAAGCATATGGTATAATTAATAGGTATTCTGGAACATCGACATTTTTGCTAATTTCTGTGGTTTTCTGATCAATAATTGTTTTCTGATCGTAATGTATGGTGGATAAATACTTTATATAAAGCTAGAACTATTATAAAAAGGCTTATTACTGTGTCCGTCAAACGTTTAGCGTATTTGTCACAAGTATTTTAGGGCTTCTATATTTGACAGTGTCGTGTCTTACTTTCTTAATGGTAGGGACTTTTTTTAACAATTTACTTAGAAAGCCCAGGCTATTGGCATTTTATTACAACTATTCCTACGTCTTTATAAATTGTTTGGGACTTCTGAGAAATATGTTTTTACTTTTATGTGAATTATACTTTTACTAAAGTATCTTTTTGCTGTTGACGGTTACTTGTTATTTTGTTTTCGTATTTACTCCATGAACGTGAAAGTTTTTTCTAAAACTGTTTAAATGGCGTCAGTCCTTTACAAGTGTCGAAGAAAATATTTTTTGGTTATATTGTCGGGTTTTTTATGTATTTAAAAAATTCTAAAGTAAATACGGTGGCAATTCCGTTGCTGTTTAACCCATATCCAGTGGAGATATTTCTTTTATCATGCTAAAACTATTCCAATTATTCATCAGTACTGGTTGTTGGCAAAAAAATATCTACCATACGAATTGGTGATATTTGTAATAACTTCTTCCGTACTCGCTAGTATTTAAGCACGTCTTCCCATTTTCCATCCAAAAAAATATGGAAGTACCAATTATAATATATTTTATACACTGCATCACTTGATTCTTGGTAATTTATTCCATAAACTTATTAGTTATTTCGTCAAAACTGGTTATATCATTTTTGTACGTTTTTTGGCTATTTTCGGGTAAAAATGTCAAATTTCATTCGGGTAATAACTCTGTTTGTGGAAGCAAGTATTCTTCTGTCTGTTCTGTCCGCCTTTTCGCTCTTGACATTCGTCGATTGAATATTAATGAGATATCAAAACAAGCGAACTATTTTACGAAATTTGATAAATATCCCCAAAATAGGGTCATCCACTCGGTATCAAGCAGATAATTCGCTCCTAATAGTGAAAGATACAATCTCATCCTTCACCCCAATGTTTACCATGCGGATAATTTAACGCTCATCAACTAGAAGTTGTTTATTATTTCCTATAATCTTATATAGAAAAAACCGTCGATGCTCTCAAAGATTAGTGTCGATTATCTTTCGAACCGGATTCTTACATGTTGGTAACCGTATATCTAAAAGATGAGTCCAACATTATACTCTATTCATCTGACTTCAGACTCATAAAAATTATAAAACCGAATAAACAAGTTTGCCCTAGAAATGTAACGTTAGAAAGCCTCGAAGGCATTCATTATAACTTTATGTAATTCGGACTTTCATTCAGGGTGCTATGTATGTCAAGGCTTGGCCTTCAGAGGGAAGAATAGTGTAGTGCGCGTAATGTAGGGTACTAAAAGATAAATAAGTCAATGGGATCATCGTTCTTTGGAACAAGAATAGAACCATTAAAAAGAGCTCGTTGTTTTAAGTAGAGTATCGTTCTTGCATGTATCGTTCCCACATTTGTCTGGTGTTGCTATACATGAAAGAAGAATCTCGTACTGGTTCCTTCTCATAGGTCCTGGCACTCTCATGGACCGACGCACTGCCTTAGTCTTTCACACTACATTACTACCTTTATCTTGTCAATTACCTTGCAAAGAGCCGTGGCTCTTGTTAATGATAAAAAAAAGTCTTTCGTATTGATATTTTATTGTGTCACAATTAGGATCAATGAAACACTACGATCTTGAATTAAAGCCAAGTAGAAAAATTGAACTTCTTTATTATTTTGAGTATGATTGGAACGAATTCAGCCGCTGTCTTTATAAGATACGTAATTTAATTCTCCAGTTTTGTCTAAGAAAGAGGAGTGAAGCTGAAGATCTTGTAATTCCTTTGTTAAGGCTTTATCCTGCTTAATCACACTAATGAATTTTTGGGAATTTTTCCCAGCTCCATCGCTCAAAGGCTGCAACGGAGTTAGGAATTACAATGGCAAGAGCGCCGTACTTAAAGTCCTTAAGTAAGACATTTAGTCTTTTACCGGCAGCTTTTAAAAGTCTGGTCTGGTATTTACTGGATTGACCGTCTATTGAAAGAAGGTTAAATCTTTAAAGTATGCAATAGGTCATGTAGGTTTTACCTTTGATTGCTTGCATGTGCTTCTTATGTAATCCTTTGCCTTGTAATTTGGATTCTTCCAAGAAACAGAAAAAGTGATAGCATCCGACGTATTGGATGCACTTTCCCAACACATCGTATGTCTGACCCGCATTAAAGTAAAAGAAGATGCCTTTCAGAAACTTGTCTATATCTTCTTGCTCGGTAGTTGCTGTCATAGTAGGTATTTTTAATAGTCTGATTGCCTTGAGTCGCAGTTGAGAGCTTAAAATCGACATGTTTTGTCGAATTGCGACAGTTGGCGTGATAATAGCATCGGCCTCCTTTGAGGAGGTGGTAGGCACCTCTACTGGTGCGACCATACTGGTTCTATCGGATTCTGGAGTGTCATTTGGACACGAGGCCTCGTCATCAACGTATGGGTTTGTGGCGTACGATTTTTTTTTGCCAGAAGAGCTACCCTCTTGGTTTTCTTTTGCCATTCTTTTTCTTGGCACAGCCATTGGTCTCTCCTCAATTGGCGAGGCCGTAGACTGTTCTGATTATGTACATTTAATATATATACATTTTTAAGATAAAAAAAGAGCTCACCTTCTTCGGATGGCAATTGAATGTTTGACATTCTCAAACATTGACTAATTAAATGGCCATGGTTCTCTGGATCTAACAAAAATAATTGGTTATCTGTTACAAGATGATTGGTTTACCTTGTACTTACATTCGCTTTTGATACCAACATACATGTTATTTAATTCGGTTATTTATGATTTTTTTGTGTTTGTTGTCGAACAATAAAGTGAGTGAGAGATAAAAAAATTTGACGTCCATCACCACCTTTCAATATGCATTTTGGATTCAATCGCGTACCTTTTGGAAAGCGACTTTTTGTATGTAGGTGCAAAAGTCGAATTATTCTATTTTTCTTTTTCGCGTTCTTCTTTTAATAGTAGCCGAGAGCTATACTAAATACTGTCGCTACTTTACTATCGGAAATAGCTGTTTTATGTCTATTCCACAATCATTGTATACGCACAAAATGGTTAGAAAAAAACCGATAAGCATTCATTGCTTTACGTTTCAAAAGACGGGTAAGGATGTCTAAATTAGAAGCATTTCGTTGTCATCTTAAGCCTTATATTGGATCTATCATGCTACGTAAACACGTGACACACTATTATAAATAGCATCACTTTATGTTAATAAATCATCAGCCATTTTTATCTCTTATAAAATAATAAGTATACTCCGCTAGTTTTACAGATCGAAGTCGGGTTTTACAAAATACTGTCTGCTCTTTTTGTTTCTTTCAAACGACGGGCTTTCCCTATACTCCCCCGCTTTAATATTTTAGCACTATAATGTTTGATAGCTATCAGTAAAACGTTTTTATAACCAAATATTTAAACTATTTGCTTATGCTTCAAATCCATGTTACAATCGTTCGTCTGTCAGAAATCTGTAGCAAAACGTTTTTTGTGGTATAAAACTTTAATTAAAAAAGAGCAAAAACTTTATCAGGTTCAAGCTTAGGGACACGTTACTATTAAGTGTTTTCCATGAGACATGATTCGTATCGCATTATTTGGAATATATAACATGGTATCGAAATACGTAGTCAGATTAATTATAATGCGTTCAAAATACAACATTAGAAGTAGACACCTGTAGTGATATACTTAACAACAAGTTGCGTAACTTTAACACAGGCAATTATTATGTTGGGTAAGACTTTACAGGAGATTCCATGGCAACCAAAATAGTAAACTTCTGTCTTTTTGGACATTCCTTGCACACGTGATTAGGCGGAATAATAATCAGGAGTGTGACTATATCAAGTTTACGGCAGAGATTGCGTAAAAAAAATTGAAAATGCGTTTATTTTTCTAGCCATAAAATTTGCAGCTCAATATACAAATAGGCCTTGGACACAATAATTGACCTTCTGCTATTGCAGTTTTTGTAAAAGCTCCCTATATTTTGAAATAACGAACACTACAGCCACGTTTTAGCAATTAAATATCGACCAGTCAACCGACCGGCCAAAAAATAATTTACGAACGGTCAACCTGCCGATCGAAAACTGAAAGACGATCGGTCAACCCGCTGGTTGATAGTTAGAGGACTGTCATGAACCGCCTATGTTTCAGTTGCATATAATCATGCAAAATGTCTCAGACCATTATTGAAACCCAACTAGCCCATTGTTCCTGTTCCACCTGTTCCACCTGTTCCACCTGTTCCCTGTTCTCTGCCTCCTGTCACACATGTCACTGTCAAACATCACTATTGTATCCTGTCTAACGCCTGTGTTCCAAATAATGTATCCCCGTTGTCCCTTGTGCTTGTAAAACCATTTAACATGCGTTCCCTTGGTAACTCTGCCTTTGAACTCCCTTATAAAACATTAATAATATCAGCTCATGTTATCCTCTGTATCTATCTGCGAAATTATATGTGTTCATTCCCGCTACCCCAAAGATGTCCCAAACTAAATATGGCCGTTCCCAAGCAAACATTATTTTCAAAAACAAATCGCTCGATTTGTAAAAAGGTTTGGTCCCCCCAGTATAAGTACTAGCTTATAATTTTAGTATACTGAGGATAGCAATGTGGCCCATATACAACCAGTAAATAAGACATGCTAGTTTAGTAATTAGAAATATTATTTTAAGTCATGTCTCACATGTTTTTACTTTTTTGTAATTTATAGCCCCCACCTACGAGGGTATAAATTACTAATTGTAAATTGCCCAACCCCCCATAAATTTTGGCTGGTAAAATGTTTTTTTATAGTTTAAATTACTATTTTGAGCTAAATACTTTTGTTCCCAAAACGTAAAAAAAGTTTTGCTTGGGAACGGCCTATGACTAATAGTCAGTCTTTGTTAATCTGATCCCCCAACTTTTGTTTACCCAATCTGTCAATAAAGATAAATAACAGCATGTTTATTTATTCTTATTTCTGTATTCAAGATCTTATCTATTTTTCCTGCTCCTCTGAATAAACCTTTTTCTACCTTCATTCCTTTTTATATATGTATTAATACTAATAGATATAATGTCTGTTTCTTTTGTCCTCACCCTAATAATTATTCTGTTCTGCTCTTGCCCCGATCCACTCCTCACAGGCCTACTAATTGAACAGGTTATCTTGATTAATTTTTTTTATAGCTCTGTTCAATACACCAATACTAGAACCAGACTCCAAAGCAATGACACCATTAGAGCAGCATTGGACTAAACGAAAATGTGGTAGACTCAAAAATGGGTTACATGTTTAGAATAAAAATGTTTCAGTAAAGGTTATGAAAAAAAAGGGTTTAACATCTTATAATAGTGATAATAGCTTATATATTTCCTATGAAGCGCTGTTAACCGGATCCATAACTTAATAATAACAAAAAACAGAAAACTAAAAATGTTTGGAAAGTTTCCCTATGAATGAGTATGTGATGTCATTACACAAAATACGAAAACCTTAAACGGTTACGATACTTTGGAGGGCACTGTATATACGTTTTTGAAATTCAGCGCACGTTTAAGGATGTTCTGATATGATTTGCGACTTACCTTAGATGTGAATATTAGCTCAGATAATCCCCATACAAGTTTAGAATGCTTGAACCATTTCGGAACCGTTTCTAATTTCTTATAATGTATTTTGGTCATTAGTTTAATGTAATCAGGGAACCCTTAAGTATCGGATCTGTAGGGATAACGGACCGGAGTACCCTAAAGTTAACGGATTTTCAGGGATAACGGACCGGAGTACCCTAAAGTCAACGATTTTCAGGGATAACGGACCGGAGTACCCTGAAATCAACGGATTTTGAGGGATAACGGACCAGAATTCTCAGATTTGTATGATTTAGGCTGCTGACATGAAACAAAATAAATTGAGATCTTAAATAGAAGATGTACTGATATGGACAAGCTCCGTTTTTTTTTAAAAAAAATGTTTTTTTATGAATATTTTTTTCCTAAATTGAAGTCTGTCAAAAACAATGTTCCCATATTTTTTTATTATCAATCTACTGCTCAAAAATGAAAAATCTGTGGGCATCGAATGTGAAGCCTCTAGAAATAAACGGTCCTAAAATAGAAAACTAAAATGCGAAAATACAAAATAAAATTTTATTACTGTTTCCTTACCTTGATTTCTTTAAAATGAACAATCAAAACAACAACAACAACCCTATTAATTTCCAATTTATTTAAGTGACACCTAATGGTGTAGGCTATGGTAGCAACCGTCGCATGCTACTACTGTTTCAGAAGAAGAAAAGGTTCCTGTCGTCGTTCCGGCTGCGGCCCCCGTTTTCCCTGCTGCTCCTGCTACTGCCACTGCTACTACCACTGCTGATGCCACTGCTACTACCACTGCTACTACCACTGCAGATGCCACTGCAGATGCCACAGATGCTGATTTCACGGATGCTGCTGCCACTATTAAGTTTCAGATACGAGCTACAGTCACTGCAACTGGAATTAAGCCAGCACTTTTACTCTGATTGAATTGTATGCTAATAACAACAACCGGTTGGGGTCGACTCGTACTTTAGCTGAACGAAATGAGTTGTACCGTGTCATGTTGCACGCATTCAACACCAAAACCAGCACCAAACAAAGAATATCTACGAGTGCTTTAAAGTCTAAGTGTTCTGCTTTCTGTGCTGCCTTCAGACATCGAAATGACAGGTTGAATGCGACTGGTAGGGAACCAATTGAAAACTGGACTTACCATGATGCGATGGAGAACGCCACCAGTGAGGTGCCCACCGTGATCCCACGTAATGTGTATTCCTCTCTTCCTGGAGAGACGATCGATATTCGTGGTGAGGCTGTCCGTGCTAGACAAGGAAGGACCGTCGAAGACAATGGTGCTGAGGAGGGTCTGACTCGTGGGGCTGCCAGTAGAAGTAGAGGGGTCAACCGAACGATCGAGCATCTGGTGACCTCTATTAAGGAGACTGAGGCACGTTGTTTTAAGCGTGGAGAGCCTGAGCGTAGAACGTTCAGTAGAAATCTTGCTCCTTCGACAACTTTTTTTGGTCAGCCGTTGAAGTCCATGGACAAACAGGACCAGGTGCAGTCTCGCATCGCCGTGCTGTTGCAGGCCAGTCTGGATATCGAGCGTCAGATGCTGATGGTAATGAAAGGGGATTTGGCTCAAGCAACAACAACGCCACCAGCTACAATGCGTTTGAAAACGGTGACTACAATTATACCAACCACACCAGCTACTACTTCCGCCCAAATGTCAATGGTATTCCTGAAGCCAATGACTATCAGTACAACAGTCCTTCTGCCAGCAGCACCAGCGCGTACAACAACACCCACGCCAACAACACCAACACCAGCAACATCGTCGTCAGAAGCACCCTTTCCAACAGCACCCTCCCATACAACACTGCCTCCACCCCCTCTGCCAATGACATGCGATCGATGGCAATGTCACGACGGTTTCTCCTGTTCCGTCAGACTTGCTTGATATCACTTATCCTTTGTCCGATGAATATAAACCTCATAACATCGACTAAAATATAATGGGCTTTTTTCTTCAATAATAAATTTGTTTTATTTTTCAAAAAAATTTGGTACTTGACACATTTAAGGAAAGCTGAATTAAAGATGCGCAAGCGGGCACGGTTACCTAAAACACATGTATCATCCTGCTCTCCAACTACAAGACCAGCAGGCTCAAGAACCAAACCATCGAAACCTAGCTCCCCTCTTGCCGTTCATGCAGTGTGTAGAATAGCACACGACGCGATGATATCATTGATATCCAAATTATTATACACGTAAATATGGAATTGTGTGAATCTCCACTGATGAACGAACTTACCAAAAGTTCTTTCAATGGCCATTCTTCTAGCTGAATGCGGATAGTTGACTAACCTCTTGCGCGGATCCCGGAGACATTCACTTTCAGGGAATGGTGTAACCGAATTGGCAATGTTAGGATAGGCCGAATCACCGAGAAAATAAATTCATTTAGTGAAGTAATGCCCAGGATTGTTCATGATCTTCCAGCTGAGATCACTGGAATTATAGGCTGAGGCATCGTGACTTCTGCGTAGTGTATTCAAAGTAAATTAGTTTCCAACTCTTATCTTTATATTGGTCATTATTACCAGAGTCTCCTTGGCGAATGTAAGTAAACATACATATATCGTCACAAACAGCGGTAAGTTTAATGGTGTAGTTGTTTTTTCTGTCACGGAACCCTGCTCCATAAGCGGCTGGAGTTGGCTTATGAATGGTAAAGTTTTTTGCCATCAATAGCACCAATTGCATCAAGAATACTCACACCGAGAGCTTTGTTGAATCCAGCAGATATAGCACTCGCCATGGCTAAATTGGTATGACAATCCATCATATAGCTAAGCACATCTTTGATGGTTTTTACCGTACGCCTCGTGAAATTGGTATAGCTGCCATACAAAAAACCATACAGGACATACATTTTTTTGTATCCAACAGGACAATTGGCCAGTCTTAAAAGACAGGTAGCTATCCGGATGGGAATAGGAACGTTGTTTGGTGTCTTGAAACAAATTCAGGATGAGTAGACAGCCTGTTGACAAACCAATTTAAAGAGTCCGTTCCCATTTGATATGGGGCACGGAAGCAATCTACTTGTTTTTCGTCGTCGTTAAGGTTGGGATGTTGTACCTCCCAAAAAGTGTATCTTTCAGACACTCTTGTGGCACCCACACCGTTATTTCACGTTCTGTTGATAATTTCTCCAGTATTAACAAAGGCATTGAAGTAATAGCCATTCCAAGTTCCTCGAGAAATCGGCTGCAAAAAAGTCGTACTGCAATTGCTGTTCTCCACGCAAACGCACATTACTGACAGTAAGGTGCAACAAATCTACAATTTCTTGGTTCTTGGCAGCAATGTTTTCACTAGATGCATAAAGAACAGTTTGTTGTTGTCTTAACATTTTGAAGATGAGAAAAATTTGTTGGTGAGTTTGAGAATTCATTGAGAAATTAAATTGAAACAGAGAAAAGGAAAAAAGAAAAGGTAAAACAGGAACAAAATAAAAAAAAATCTTGCCGATAGTTTAGTAAAATCGAATTGCACTACACAACCAGTTGAAAACTTTAAATATTTCTTAAATTCTGCACCAAAAAGTAAATTCCCGTGTCAGAATTTTTTTTTAAAAAAATAAAACTTTGCGATTGGGCGAAAAAACAAAATACGTGATTGAAGGCCAGATGTTATGAAATAAACAACTGAATGAAGGTTTTGTGCACCTTGAAAACTACTTTAGCGTCTTTTATGGGGGTCAGGATAGCGATTCGTGCAGCTAAGCATTTTTATTGGATAACAAAATGGAAGAGACTTTTATTTTTTTGAAAAAATGACTTGTAAAAAAAAACAAAATGATTAGTTTCTTTCATTTTCTAAAATTTTGAAATAACGATTAGTGTTATGGAGCCACCAGAAAGTACCGAACTTGCACTTGTTGATAAGAGAATATTTGACAGTGTCAATCTCAGTTTCCTGAGACATGTCAAGTAATTCCACCACAGTCAGTTTATACTTCAGCAAGTCCAAGATTTCTTCAGTTTTCTTGGTGAGGAGATTACCACCTTCGTCAGCTTGATAGACAGAAATGAGGCTACTGTCATCGTGAATCACGAAGGCTGGCCTGGGAACAAGTTCATACACCTCAACAATAGCCTGATCGCCGCGAAGTTTTACCACCTTTCCAAGCAGACGACGCGCCCCAAGAGAATCCAAGTCAACATCGAGAATAGCCGTCATGTTCAAAGCAATCTTCTTTCCAGCAATATATTCAGTACTGCCGAATTCCCGATTAGCAGAATAGTACATGTCTGTCGTGATCGAGGCTATATACTTAATATATGACTCTATCTACACTTCTTAAATCTTCCATTTGATAATCCTAAATATAATTCTTATTGGTACTTTATATTAAATACTGATCATTTACTTTATGTACAGTCTTGATCTCATATCATCCTTCATACAAGTATAAGGCATACATTTAAATAATAACATAATATGAAAACATATGAAGGTTACATCAGCCACGTTGAGGTGCCACAGCTATCTTTAATAAGAACTACATTTTCCCCTGAATGTTGTGCTACAAGACATACACGGTTTAAGAATGAATGTTATTGTTATTGTTATTGACATCTCATTATGGTCTTTCTATATGGGATCATTACATCCGAGTATTATCTGGATAAATCTACCCACAACCGTCATCAGCCCATCTGTGATCAATGTCTGAAATAATGTGTATATAAAGACCCCCATTTATTTGTTTAATAAAGCTTTAGTTTATTTTTGCAGTTTGATAATTTCACTTTGTTAAATTTTACATTTTATTCTTAATTCACTCTCGAATTTCTCAATGTCCTCACTGTACCTATCGAACCACGCTTTGACCAGACTACCACGAGTTTTCATACCGTTATCCCTAACAAGACCCATCGCAATACTTCTCAGCATTACCTCACGACCGTTAATAAGAGCCAAATCACGAGAAGGGTTTTGTTTGTTGGTCTTCATGACAATTGCCCTAATGTGTTTGTTGAATTGCTCGTTCTTTTCAGTTGCGAGAAGCACAGGAGAAGCAAATCGAAGACAATCCTCTACCAAATGGACTATCAAATGAGTCTTTAAACGATTACACAATGGACCACCAGTTTTGGCGTATGGAATCGTAGCACCATTAGATTGTTCACCAGAAAGACCATAGATCTCTTCAGAAGTAGTTTGACTGGGCACTGATGCAGTTGTCGTTGCTGTTGCTGGCTCTCCACGAGTACGTCGGTTACTGGGAACAACGGTACGATCAAGGTTATCCAGAGCAACAACAGTATCATCAACGGATTGACGCAATAAATCGAGATAGGCAGAAAAGTTGGTATGTATTTCACAGTTATAACACAATGAGCAAAGCTCACCAAGCTTGTCAAAAGTACTAATAACGTTATCCATTCGGTGGAATTGATCATTACAAAGGTTGAGGAAATCAATGTGGTCACGAGCAACTCTGAGAACAATTGGGAGCATCTGAATCATAAGTTTGAAGTCTCTTCCAAGAAAGCTTTTGTATCCTTTGAGATGCGTCGACATATTGGTAAAAGCCTTAGACCCATACTTTGCACACAAAATACTAATGCGATCAACCTGCTTCTTGTTGAAAAAGCAATCAGCAGCTTTGTTGAACGTGTATTTGATTAAACCGAGACATAGGCCATGCAGAATTTCTACCGGTGTATCCTTGCTAGGATCCCAAGAAGACAACGTCAAAAGCCTTTTGCCAGCAGTTTCCTTGAAGCCGAGGTCCATCAAGTTTTCGACCATGATATAATCACCCTGTCTGTTACGAACACGTATCGAGAAATCAGTATTATCCGAGTCATCGCTTGGAAATAAACTCATCCAGTGACCTTTTTCTCTTGGAACTGACATGTGTTCTTCCGCCGTGGTAATTCTATTAGGATCAAAAGCATCAGCATGTCGACACCAGAAGCATTTTCTACACGGATAAGTAGCTGTTGAAGCTTTCAAACAAGAAACCTCGGCATGACGAGGCTTGTCAGCCTTGATAAACAAAAGAGGAGCAACAACAAAGACTTCTTCCTTGAGAATAGCATCAAACATCGGCAGACCAGTTTCCAGTTTCTTCAAATCGGGGACAAGGGAAGGCAACTGTTCCATAGCAGTATGACGATTTGATTCACATATAAAAAATTGATTCAAATAATGATTGGCAACACTAAGAGGAACAGCGGCAGGATTCATCGACCACGAATCGAAACAATTCCATTTTGATGTGGAATTACCACTGGTATCATCAGAGAAAAGGTTGTACGGAATTACTCTAACGACCTGGTAGTTTGGCGAATTGGGATTTATGCTTCTTATACGTGATCTAATGGGCAGTGGACGCTTGTACTTATTACCAGTATCAATCATGTCATGATGAGCGCGAATCAATCGAGTATTAGCAACAACATCTCTAGAACAAAGATAATCGTCACCATTTATTTGTTGTAAGCTGGTAAATGCATCGAAGGATTCATGTTCGACACGAAAGACATTATTGATGTCAAGGTCGGTTATGGGACAGTGGAGAAGGATGTCGTATAAACAGCACATTTCAAGATTATTATCGGATTTAATTGGATACAAATCAACGTTCACAACTTTTGATATTTGGAATATCTTGGCCACTTTAAAATAATGTCGATCACAAAGAGGAATATTGCTCTCAGACAGCAAAGAGACTTTATCCGATACCCAGAGTTGAAGATTTGGACCAGTACTTATCATGGGATGCTCAAACAATCTATCACAATTCCACTTTTCACCTTGACTTAGCTTGATTCGTTGGTTAGGTGTTCGATCAGGAAGATCTGACAGGAAACCAGACATACAGGGATTACCTACGAGAAGTCGCAAGTGTTCAGATACATCATTAAGAAACAAGCCAGGCTTTGATGCGACAACAACAGGAACAGCGGGTGCAGAAGCAGTTGTATTTGTTGTTGCAGCAGGATCAGTGGCAGGAGCAGAGGTATTGGCAGAAGCAGAGGTAGAGGCAGGAGCAGAGGTAGAGGCAGGAGCAGAGGTAGAGGCAGGAGCAGGAGCAGAGGCGTCAGCTGCTGTAGCAGTACCAGATGTGCTAGTTGATGTGGCAGGTTCAGTAGGTTCGACAAGAAGTCCGCCGTTATCATCTTTCGCACAATGGGGAGCATGAGGAAAACAAGGTATACAACTTTTCTTGGATTTGTGAAATCTGGAAACGCTGTGGGGAGTGGGATAGCCACGGAAATCATAAATAACATCAGAAGGATCCAAAGCTAGTTGAGCTCTGTACTCTTTGATTGCAATTTCAGCCATATATTTACCAAAATCAAGAACTGATTTGATTTGGACTTCTGAATACTTAAAGCTACCAGACTTGAAGAAAAGAAGGGCATGCATTATGTATTCATTTTTGAAAGAATATGCTGGATTGTCGTTGACATCACCACTCAAATCAAGATATTCATCATTACCATCATCACCACCATCACCATTAGAGCCGTTGTTGACGTCGTTAACAGGAACGGGAGGTTCATTAGATTCGCTATCATCATCAGATTCCCCTCCGTTGTTAAAATCATTGTTGAAATGGTCAAAGGCATTACCACCATCAAATTCTTCTTCACCATCATCACGCCCATCATCATCACCGTCACCATCATAATCATCATATTGATTTTCATCAAATTCATTTGCAGGTTCAGACAATGGTTCGGCAGTGCGTTCAGGTTGGATTGGTCTAATGTATATTGATGTAAGTAATTTGAATATATTTAACAGCCTTAAATAACTTTACCTTTCAATGGACTCCATATCAGAACTACGAGATTCGCTTAGCGGGATAGTAGGTTGTTCGTCAGAGGTATTCCTAAAAATAATAATGATAAGTACAAACTGACTATTTTTAAATTGAAGAAGACGCTCACTTACTGTTGTTCGATGTCATTGGCAGGTAGTGATCCTTGATTGGACTGAATCGCCTCCAGAAGTTCTAAGTGGTGTCCTGATCTTTGATGCACTTTAAAAGAGTGTCGATTGATTGTACTGTATTTACATAACACACACGTTTGCTCCTGAGGCGGTAAAGCAGGTTTTGCACGGAACTTATTTGTTCCAGGTGTTTTTTTCATAGTGTTTTAAAATTAAAGTAAGTTGTTTATAATAAAATAAAGAATTTTGATAAAGTGCACTCTGGGGATTGTCTTTGGTTTATATATCGTTCAGATCAAAAAATGTGTTTAATGCTTAGCTTATGCGGACATAAGCTGTCAATTTGATTGGTGCAATAATTTACAAACGTCATTGCGGAACGATATTTTGTCACGCAACCCAACTTTCTTAGGTCGCTTTTCTTTCTCTTACGTATTTTTTTTTAACCGTGGCGTGTCTTCACAAACGCGTGATTATTGCTTGTAATATTATGATGCTTATGAACAATGGTATGTCATAGAACATCTGTCTTAACAATACTATCATAAGGCATTCTACTAATTCTTCTCTCACATTCAATTTAATCAAAGTCAAACGCGAAAAAGGTAGCTATTTCATGACTTGTGCAATAATATAATCTTCTGTCCCCTTTTACTTTCAAGATGTGTATCTATAAAGGTATACTTTATTCTGTACTGTGCTTCCCTGTAATAATATATCATTAACAAACGCCTTTTTATTTTTTAGAGGCTCTTTTCTCTTTAAAATACCGTAAGTAATATCTTGGTGATTATTTTACATCCTAAACTAATACATAACGCGTTTCATTTGTCAATAGATATATCGCGTAAAGCTTCATACAAGGTACTATAATTTTAACATTAATCATTATCCGTTTTACTAAACACATTATTCACTTTATAAATTAGCTCGTGATACTGGAAGACTTCCAAAACTACAAAATTTAATTTTTAACCGGGATTTAAATATTTTCTTCTTTTTTTGGATTCGTGTAACCATTTTTTAACTTGATTTTAATTTAAAAATTTACAGCAAAAGTTTATTGAGGCCTCCCCCCCCCCTCTACTAAGGTCAAATTTTAACTTTTTCAACTTTTTATTTTTTTCTTTGGCGCTTATTCTGTTCATTACCCTCAGAAGAATGGCTTTCTTCAATGGGACTTATCTAAGCATAAAACAATTAGGAACTTTGCCATACAAAGAATGAGTGCTTTTATCGTTGTTACCTTCGCAATTTGTGGAGTTTAACTAAAATTAATTTTTGTCTAAACGTTTTGGAAGCCTTAACGATTTTAATCGGAAAATGCTTTAAGCGAAGTTTAAATTAAAATTAAAATCAAGGGAAAAAAGTTTTGGAAGTCTTCCACTGCTTAAGCACGGATAAAATGTAAGTACAACATCTATCACAGACACTTGAATATCACATTAATACCTTTTTCCGTAGCTTCAGCTCAAACAGAATCAGTTTTGCGTGGGTTTTCTAGCTTGAATTCACTGTCTGCTATACGTGTCATACGTGGCCTGTCTGGGCTACGTGGTCTGCCCTGTCTGTCAAGGCTGAATAGCCTGCCTGGTCGGCCTGCGTAGCCCCGAGGGGCAAACAGGCGCTTTTTGCCGGTTTCTGATTTTGTGGGCCAATTTTTTATATAAATAAATTTCGCTTTTTAAGGCAATTTTAAAAAAAAACTATTTTCGTATTTTGTATTTGTATTTTATTGTTTTGTTTGTACAGCAAGGAAACGTAAACAAAACCACAAAACCAAAAAGGAAACAATTTTCATATCTATTTTTACTTTTTTTTTTGGGAAAAAAATGGTCTTGAAATTTTAAAGTTTACACCTGGTTGTGTAGCACAACATTCAGGGGAAAATGTAGTTCCTATTAAAGATAGCTGTGGCACCTCAACGTGGCTGATGTAACCTTCATATGTTTTCATATTCATGTTATTATTTAAATGTATGCCTTATACTTGTATGAAGGATGATATGAGATCAAGCCTGTACATAAAGTAAATGATCAGTATTTAATATAAAGTACCAATAAGAATTATATTTAGGATTATCAAATGGAAGATTTAAGATGTGTAGATAGAGTCATATATTAAGAGCATCCCCAGCGGTTTGCTAAATTTGCTAAATTTATTAAATCTGGCTTTTTTTTTTTAACAAAATGAAACTCCAGTCGTTTGTTAAAAAAAAAGCTAAATTTGTAAACGATCAATTTTTTTCTAAAAAATAAATAAATCTGACTTTTTTTTAATTTTTTTGCTCCTTTCCCGATAAATTTTTAAAATAACAATGTCGAATCAACAACAACAACAAAAGCAAAAGGTGTGGTGATCTGCTATATTGTTGCTACATTAAATAAATCCATATCTATGACATCAATACATTAAGAATGATTAAGGAATCAATTACCCAATATAGATAGTTAGTACTATCATATCACAAGGTTACAAGAACACAGTGATTAAGGCTTACTAAAGATATGGAAGTACAATGTGTCTAAGATGACAGTAATTCCAAGTGTAACATATTTACAAAATAAGCAGTTAAAGGTAACAGGATACACACTGGGAAAATGATAACAACTTCAAAGATACACTAAAGATAGTGGTACAGCAGATAGTCTTTTTTATATAAATACTTGTTCATTTTATTTCATAATAAAGACAATCTTATAAACAGTCTCAAATTATTCATAAACTGCCTTATAATTTTTACTTACCTGAAAACACAACAAAAGGAACAGCCCAAGGCTAATAAGCGTGCCCGTGGCAATAACTGGACCTTCGAAGAAGACACCCAGTTGTGTAAATCTTGGGTTGAAGTCTCAACCAACCCCATTAAGGGCAACGACCAAAAGAGTCCTGACTTTTGGAAGGCTGTAGAAGAAGACTTTGCGATTAACTTCGTCAAAGTCTACAAAATTCCTGTTACTGAGAGAGCAGAAAACTCTCACCAGAACAGATTCACGACAATTGCATCTGCTGTCAACAAGTTTTGTGGGTTCTTTGATACTTGTATCAGAGGCCCTGCCCCTAGTGGATCTGATCCCTCTGACGCGGTATATAATACAACTGAAAATTATTTGACATATGTAAAGACTGACATGACATTTTTGAAACAAAAGGTTATTAGAGCCACTGAGATGTATAAGGCGTCTGAGACGAAGGATAAGAAGGGGTTTACCTTCTTGCATTGCTGGAAGGTCTTACGAATGAGTGAAAAGTGGAAGAGTCGTGCCGAAACCACGCAATTTAAGGTCAATGCGAAGGCAAAGAGGGTTGCCATGAGTGTTTTGGTCGAGGACGATGCCCAGGTACAGGCTCGTCCTATGGGACGCAAGAGGGCTAAGGCCATGACGAAGAACAGTGCTGAACAGGATGATGAGATCCGCAACACGTTGAAGGAGTTCGTTGAGATCACCAACAGGAAGATCGACTTTGCGGAAGAAGAGAAAAGGTTTTTCCGTGACCAGAGCTACCTGATGATGGATCTGTCAACCATCTCCTTCGGACCTTACAGGGATTATGTGCAGGAAAAGCAGTTGAGCATCCTGGAAGGTCTGAAGGCGGCTGATTTGGCGAGGGCAGAGTCCCATCGACGATCCATCATCAAAACCATTGATGATGATCAACACTCTTTGGTCGATGAAGATGGACCAATGTTGGTTGAAGATGAGGAACCAGTTTTGTTTGAAGATGAGGAATCGGTTTTAGTCGAAGATGATTAAAAATAAAAACTGGTTTTCTTTTTTTTAAAAAAAATAGTTTATTTGGGGTTTTATATATTTAAAGGGATCTACATGTCGCCTCGTCTTTGCCATAAATGTTCAATAAGATCGGATTGAAGCTGATCGTGTGTATCAGCATCTCTGATCTCAAAAAACTTGGCAACGAACTCACCGAATGACACATTCTGACGAGACGATGGAGGAGGAGAGGAATGGGGTTTGTAAGAAAGAGGAAGATCCAATCCACGCTCATCCTCCACAATCATATTATGCAAAATGATGCATGCTTCCATGATTGCATGTAGATCCTGGTCCTTGAACAGCCGAGAGGGTGTTTGGAGCATGGCAAAACGTGCCTGTAAGACACCGAAAGCCCGTTCTACATCCTTTTTAACCGCCTCTTGTGTCTTTGCAAAGTTCTACCATATAACACGTTAAATTAAAGTAGATATACTAATCCAACTTTCTATGGCTTACCTTTTTCTTTTGCGACTGTGGGTTTGGCAAGGTTTTGAAAAGAGTAGCATATCTTGGGTATATGCCATCTGCCAAATAGTAACCCTTGTCATAGGTATTGCCATTGACCGTGAGCTTGACTTCAGGCATATCACCTTTGGCCAGGCCTGCAAAAATTGGGGACCGGTGGAGGACATTGATGTCGTTGAGGGCACCAGGTGTGGTATTTGACAAAATATTACATAGAAAAGTAATGAGATAAAAGTATATTTTTATTATGGGTAAAAATAGACGAAAAGAACTCTGCTGCTATGAAATAATTGATCCTTTTTATATTGCACAACTCTCCTGAGTTTTAATGATGAGTCAACCTTTCTGGTTTTGGAATAGATTGTCGTATTTGACGCCTAATTCCACGAATATAATTACTCTTATCTTGTCACTCAATTATAATACATATAACCTATGTATTATAAGTACCATATTGCGAATACATTCCTATTGGTACGACACAGTACCAGCTACCTCATATGTCAAACTGAGATCAGATTTCATAATCGTTCCTGGATTGGTCGAGTAGCTGCCGAATCTTCTAGTTTCTCATAAATTTATTTTAGTAATCCAATCAAGGACCCTGTCATTGAATGGATAAACTATAATGCTCTAGAAGTGCCGGATATGGGTCAACTAGCTCCTTGTATATAACAATAAGCTATGTTTCATATGTAACTGATTTCTAAATCTAATTCTACCATTTCCCAGTTTGCGGGTAAATAGTCAATTCGATCTGCGCAGGAAAAATCTTGAAGTAATAATTGAATATAAAAAGGACCTCTATTTTTATCATGACAAACTCTCCAACTTATAATAAAGGATTAAAGAGTCTCATTTCTTTACTTGGTTATTTTTATCTTTTATTTTCTACCTTTTTATTTCCCAATTATCACATAGATCTATACTTTGTTTCCCGCCTTGGGTGGAATGGATACTACTCGCTAGAATTGTTTCCAGTTAAAGTTGTCCCATATCAGTGGATTGGGAGCATGAGTATTCTAATAAGTCTTTAGTATAACGAGACACTTATTTATCAGATCATGCAACGTTTACTGTAAAAGATGCATACTTGTTTGTCAAGTGTAATTGGCAATAGAACATAATAGTTATAGTTGATCATTTATTCATTATCTTTGTAATGAATAAAATACGATCCTAAATATATAATGTCTTCATGAGATTTGTATATTTGGTTGTAGAAAGTAGGTATCCCATTAATTCGTACACTACTTCTTTATACTCTTTATCAGCAGTATAACTATATCAATATATAAGTAAATGAACCATTTATATTAATAGCTGTTCTATTCTCTCTCTGGGTAGCTAATCCATTGAGAGAACTATTAATAACAAGTTTCTCTTTCTTATAATTTTTGATTGATCTGAGAAGTTTCTCTTCTCGATCGGTGATATCGTAACTCAGTGGTATAGCGTTCTGTATCCAATTGTCATTCGTATATCGTATTTAGGCCAATCATGCAATCTTTTATATAGAAGTATGTACTCAAAGTAGTAGAAGTTGTATAGCAGTATACAAGTGTATGCTGGTATGCAATATCAAAGGTTGTTTTAGTTTCATAGTTTATTTATTTAAACGATTTGCTTAATTATTCTTTAGTGAATCGTACACAAATGCGACAAATATCTTTTGCCTATATTTCTATTTTGTACTTATTAATCACCCTAAAATAAATCAGCGATCAAAAATTGAAAAATATCGCAAACAAATTAGAGCGGAAATAACGATCTTTTTTTTAAAAATATCGCGATTGGCGCTATCGATCAAATTTTCTAAAATATCGTTATTGGCAATATCGATCAAATTTTCCAAAATATCGTTATTGGCAATATCGATCAAGCTTTCTAAAATATCGTTATTGGCAATATCGATCAAATTTTCCAAAATATCGTTGGATGGGGTAAAAATAATGGGGTAATCGATAATCGATATAATATTACTTTTACACCCATGCTAAATCAGTATGCAAGCTTGAAATTGATACGTTTATATATATATTGGGAGAAACAAAATTTTATTTATGAAAAAAACTTAATAACATCAAATCTGATCATGATGGACCTCTTCAAATATGGAAAATGACCAGTGAAATAAGACCAGAGACAGATGTAATGAGAGGAACTACGATAGTGACCATACGAAGACCTCAGACGAATAGCAGTATCACTTACCTGCATAAAGATGGTTTATGTTAATAAGAGAATAAATTATCGTGTTTAGCAATGTGAACCTTTACAAAACCGTGGGATGTACGAGCCTCAAATGAATAGTAATATCAATCAGCTTTAAAAAATTGGGTTAACTTAATAATAAACAAGTATACCAATATCAAGTTATTTAACTTTCCACAAGTAATGAATGTATTGATTCCTTTACCTATAAAAATGCGCTAATAGATATAAGAAAGTAGTTAGAGTTCCTTACCGAGCAAAGAGCATTGGTGTGATCCTATTAGAAAGTTGTAACACGTTTATTATTAGTCACATAACTAAATCTAAATCAATTTAAAGATGATTATGATGAATCAAATACCATTAACTATTCGCATATACATACATTAACCTGTAAGAAAAAGAAAAGTGGAAAAAGAATAAGAATAAAAAGGTTTAAAAAACAAAGTTTGTTTAAATAAGAAAAAAAAATTCAGACTCAATTCCTTTTTTTTGGCAACGCCGTACGGGTTGATTATTTCCTACAGCAACTGATTCATCAGTCTTGTTAATGACAGATTCAAGGCACTCTCCTATTTTTTTTTTTTTTTTTTTTTTTTTTTTGCAAATCTAAATTCATGTGTGCTCACTTAAAGTAATTTGGATGTATCGGCCTGTTGAAAACTGGTACGTGTGTAAACGCTTGTTCTTTTTGACTTTACATATCAAGAAAGTACTCCAGGCTCGAACTCCGTTTTTGGTGAAGTTATAAAGAATCATGACGTTTCCCCTTATTCAAAGGCCATCCCGCGCATGATGAGGCAAAGCAAAAAAAATTGTCGTCTTTGATGCAAAGGACCTTGTGTCTACTATTGGGTTGGTGAATGCCGACAGGTCTAACAACAAATATGTAATAAAAACTGGTAAGGCTTTCAAAGTCGATAAGAGTAGTATTACCGGCAGTGTTGGAAAATCATTAAAACCTACAATCACATGTCCCGTTTTCTTATTTTACTTACGTAATCTGAAGCTGTCTTTTTCTTACCCTGGCTATCATCCCCATAAACATTTTGTTTCTTTAAAAAATCACGTTTATTTATTAACATGCTATTGCTACATCTATTTATTTATGTATAGGTTGTTTTTATAGAGATTTGAAAATTTTGCTTTGCGATCAGCGATCAAAAAATCAAAAATATCGGAGATATCGATATTTTCGATTTTTTGAGCGATATCGCCAATATCGATAAAAAAAAACATTATGATCGCTGATTTATTTTAGGGTGAATCTTTAATTTTATCTTTGCAAAAAATGCGCGAGCCTTAAACCCGGCTTCTGTATAATTTTCAAGTTTATCCCTTTAAACCTCAAGGAACTATCGTTTTTCGCACTTTTTGGCATTTTGTACTTAATAATCTTTAATTTTATTTTTGCAACAAATGCGCTAGACCGAAACCCGGCTTTGGTGTGA